TTGCATAGAAAATCTGAGGAACAGATCCTTAAATGACTATTTTGAAAAAGCTAAAGTACAGTTGAGAAACACAACTTGATAAATGTTTGAAAAACCTCTAGATAATTCACCTGAGAAGTCAGGTATACCAACATATAAATGATGGGGGAGGGGAGGAAGAAAATAATACAAGTGATTGTTTGGCAGAATCTTCTAGGGTTTACAAATGTAATCTATGATGAATGTGTGTTGTAAGTTTAACAATAACAAAAAGATATTTAACAGACAAATCCCTCTGTATTCTAGCAATTCCCTGCTCTTGGTTCAGAACACATAAGAATAGAACTGGTGTTTATCTATAAGAGTTTTAAACACAACTTGGCCCCAGAATTCTCAGGAAAAGGTCAGCACAGGTGAAGGGCTTGGTTTCTATGAGCAATCCTGTCATTCAAACTAACAGCAGTAGTTCACTCACAGGAGGGGAAAATGGCTCTATTGTTGGACTTATTGACTCCAGGGAGGGCAGCTACTCTATTATTATCATAGAGTGCTCACAACCTGAGCTCTATGTTGGTCCACTTAAAATTACTATTTGCTGTGAAGGATTGGCAAAGCAATTCTTAAAATGATGGGGTGAAAGTAGAAGAAGCTCCATCAGGAGCTTTTCTTTTCCTGTAAGCAAGAGTGAGGAGTGCATGATTCTTTCTGAGCCTGACCCACTTATTACCTTTTGTTCAGTTGTCTTTATTAACATATTAACTGACTAGATGGCCTTTAGAAATAAATGCACTTCATTAGGTAATTATGTTACAATAGCCTCTTATTAGAAAGAAAGCAATATTCAGTCCAAACGCTTAAATATGTATATCTTGATGGACATAGCAAGCACACAAATACACAGTATATGCATTCAAAGGGTTGTAAATGTAAGAGTAATTGTACAGATTACATCCTGAAGGAGCTGTCGATCATTATTTGTCTTCCTGTTTTAGAAATAAGCAAAACACATTTAATTACCCAGATGCCAAAATTATTGTCTTGTCACTATCTTCTAGAATTGGTTATATGCCTACCTTACTTATCTTAAATAATTGTTCGTATCCAGTGTTGATATTTAAATGTAATGATTTACAACTGAGCAAAAGCATTTAAAATGGTATCCCTTTAAATAATTTTCTTCCAAATTATTTAAACTTGTAACATGCTGGCATAATGGCAAAGTCAACTAAACAAACTGCATAACAGAATGAAGAGGGGATGTGTGTAAAAATAAAAATTTTCAGTACCCTGGTATCTAGGAAGGAAACACAAACAAACTAATCAGAATTTGTTTCCTAGTGACATTCTCCTAAAGTTTCAAACAGGCAGCATCAAAGCTATTAGGGTTGTGTCCCCTTGCTTATGGATAGCATATTACCTGTCTCTACTTTATCTGTCATATCTAAAAATAAAGGAATGCAAACTTTATTTTTCTTCTCCAAGTGTGCTCATTGTTTTTGAAATTCCTTTCTCACAAAAGCTTTAGCTGTCAAGAGGTTGCAAATGAAAAGTCAATGCTGGTGCTATGTCATGTCATATTACATCCCTTAGGCTACAGCAGGTTGGCTCAGTGTTTGGGATGGCTTTTTGTTGTTGCAGCTTTAGAACTGTGCATTCTGTCTGCACACCTGCTTTTGTTATGTTCCATAAAAGGACAGTTCATTAAAAAAAAGATCCGAGAGATCATAACATGGAATTTTCTATAGCTTAATTCTATAGCTTGATTTGTTTTCCATGGTGAAGGATATTGCTTGAAAGAAGGCTTGTTTATTTATTTATTTATTTTCTCAATATGGGACCCAGGGTGGCTTATGATGCATAATCAAATCTTTAACTGAAATGTATTTACATTTTACTACCTTGACATATTTGAATTATATGTTTTTTTACAGATGTTCATTATTTTTGAGGTTTCACTTTACTACATCAATAATAAATAGATTGGTAAGTGTCACCCCTGCTTGTTCTATATATGTTGTTAGGATGTTTTGACATTTTCATCTGTTCTGAACTTACTAGAACTCAAGTTATTTTGATCACTATACTATGCTGCACTATATGATTGGAGTAACAATTTGGTTAGCAATAGCCTATATATTCAGATAGATGTTTTGTACTATATTGTGGCTATAATACAGTTCAACTTCATACAATACTTTAAAAATCATGAAAAACGATGTAATATAATCCACGTTTTTAGGTCTTATTCCCTTATGACATGCTTATGGATATAAGCCTTTGAATGGCAAGTTTCCTTTCACACTAGTACCCAAATTAGTTTCTCAGTCTACAGAATTATGCATGTTTTGGGAGAAAGAAATTATGTCTATCATCAGTTCCTTTATTAGTGAACGTGTCT